ATATATATATATATATAATTACATTTTTTATGTATTTTTATACATTTTTTAATGATATTTTTTATTGAAATAACCTTCAAAACATCAGATTTCATAAACTCATAATTTCCAAAAATCTCTATTTATTTCTCCCAAATTTCAGTTCAAATTTCAAAGTTTGTTTCTTGCAATTCTGACATTTTTTGGAAATTATGAGTATAAAATCTGATTTTTTGAAAGTCATTTCAGTAAAAATATTTAGATATTTTGAAAAATATAAAAAAATAATTAGATTTTTTATGTATTTTATTCATTTTTATTGCATAATATTATTGAAATTACCTTAAAATTTTTTTTTGTTAACTTCATTTCTAAAAACAAAGTTTCTTGTTTGTTTCAAAGTTTGTTTTTGGCAATTCTGACATTTTTGGAAACAGTAAGTATACATAATCTAAAATAAAATAAATACTACATAAAATAAAAAATTATTTTTTTTCAAAATGTAAAATATATAAGATATAGTTTTTTAGTTATTTAATTTTATTTTTAATACTTATTTTTGTTGAAAAACCTTAAATCATATTTTTTAAACTCATAATTTTTAAAAATGTCAGAATTAATTTATTACAAATTTCAACGTTAGTTTTCTTGCAATTCTAACATGTTTGGACATTATAAGCATACGAAATCAGATTCATTGAAGGTAATTTCAATAAAAATAAGTATTTTTATTTATTTAATATATTGTTTTGTTCGTTGTTTACAATTGTGAGTTTTCAGGCCCTATCATACACCCGGCGCAATAAGGAGCAAGATGTGTTTGCCTCGATTTGTTGCTATTTTCAGACTAGCGCAACCCTAAATTTCCCGGAATGGGAGATGAGACTCTGATTGGTTTAATTAACGTTATTCTCAAAACACACCCAGAACTCATTAGGAGAATAAGCACAGCTCTGTTGGATCATGCGCCGGATTGTAGTTTTTCCGTTGTTAAAATAGCAAAAGTGGATTCAGACAAGTCCAACGCTTTTGCTGCTAGCGCTTTAGACTTTGTGCCTAGATCATTAAAATAGAGCCCTGCATCTTACAATTTCAACCTTTTTCCTTCTTGCAATACTTGCTTTGATTTTTTAATTAGTTTTCACATCTGTTAGTTCAGAACATTATTTGCAATTTTGCATTTTTTTTCTCACAATTGCAAGTAAATGCACATTATAAAGCAAAACATTTCCTCAGAATCAACATTTTTATCCTTATTTTTCTTCATTTTCTTTATCCATAATACTAAAAAGCAGCAGACTCCAGATGCTTTTATTAGACGTAAAGATTTGCCTCAGATGGTTTTGTTTTAATCAGATGTTCATGTTCGGACACTGACAGAGCTAGCAGATGATAAGAGAGGTGATAAGATCCTGGCTGTGTGGTTTTTCACTCTTACGTAAGCTCTCTTTAGGCCTGATGTAAACTCCGCCGTGACAGCAGAGATGTGACCTCAGCCTTCGCTTCCCATGATCGCTGGAGTTTGGAAATGGCTCCCAGCAGGAGCGGGGAAATGCTGGGGAAATTTGTTGTGAACTTTCTATAAGCCCTGTGTGATTTATGCTGTGGGGCTGCCAGAGAAGCACAAGATTAGTCGCGGGGTGAAAGGTCAAGCAATTACAGCTGTGTATGACGGCATGGTTAAGAGCAGATGATTCTTATTAAGCCCAGAGTTGAACATAAATGTGCTTGTGTAGTCATGCTAGTGTTCTGCTTTGTGTTTCACATTTAATGTTTTTTGTTTCAGTAGTGGTGTTTGCTTTGTTATATGGGCAACATCATAATGCACAGCACCCTGCTTTACGCTAAAAAAAAAAATCTTTGGATTTACTAAAATTTTTTAGGTAAGTGGTTGCAAACAATTTATATGGCTGAATTTATGTGAAGTTTTTTTATAAACTTATTTCGAGAGGATCACTTGCTTATGATTGCTTGCAGCCAGCCCCGCATTATTCAGTTCATGATTCACCAATCAGATGATTACTAAGCCACTATAAATACCCTAAGTTCCATATATCAGCCATGTTTGTTTTGAAGAATCCCCCCTTCCACCCCTATTTCCTCCTCCTTTCCTAGATGGGTGACACGGTGGCCCAGTGGTTAGCACTGTTGCCTCACAGCAAGAACGTCACTGGTTCTAGTCCTTACCAAGCCAGCCGACGTTTCTGTGCAGAGTTTACACGTCTTCCCTGTGCTCACGTGGGTTTCCTCTGGCTTCCCCGGTTTCCTCCCATGGTGACCCTATGGTTAGCACTAAGGATGCCATGGTTCTCAATGTAACATTGAACTGGATGGTAAGACCTCCACGGTTCAGTACACGCTTGTGAATTGCGGTTTTCTCTGTGTCGCGTTTAATTAATTTATGTGTGTTTTATATCTCCTCGAATTAACTGTGTGTGCCTGTAAGTCCATGAGCTGAGATGAGGAAACCCCTCACTATGCTCTAAAGTTAGGGGGGCGCTTGACCATCATTCCACACTTTAACATTACAAGCGGCGGTGAAGTGAGGCTGAGGCAACGGTACAAGGAAGCGCTGGCAAAGTGAGGCAACAGTGCGAGAAAGCGTTGGCGTCTTTTAAATCTGCAGTGTGAGGACATTTCGGTTTTGCCGGTAAGCATAATGCCAATAAAAGAAAAAACTGTGAACAAAAAATAACTGTGTGCAAGCATTGATTTACACGTATAACCATGACTGCACATCTGCAGCGCCATCACCCAGCAATATCACTGTCTGAAGCAGGACAGCAGAAAAGGTAATAAAGTCCTCCTAATAGCAACAATCCCTCGCTGAATCTTTCAAGCAAACACACCCAACTGGTTCCGAGAGACACATAATAACAAAGGCAGTGCGGCTGTTTACTGCTAAAGATTTGCAGCTGTTTTCGGTGATTGGAGATGTGGGCTTTTGTCATCGTATACAAGCACTCGTTCCGCGTTACAGACTACAGTCTCGCATTTTTCAGCACCGAGATAATTAAGATGGGTTATTTATGTTTACTGAAGTACAGATATGTTTATTTGAAATGGCCAATGTATCTTTATTAACTTCACATGTGTGTTTATTTTCAAAGTGGAGGATTTGATGTGTTCCCCAGTTTGTACATGGGCTACCAGCAGCTGTGAGATTTCAGTGTTCATTTTGTTTATATAATACACCAGGAACTACTGTACTTCTCTTGGCTTTTAAGTAAAACAAAATGAGTCTTGCAATAAATAAAAAAAATTCTCCTTAACCTCTTACTGTTCCTATTGCCTATAGAATAAAAAAAACACGTTAAGCCATGAGAACCGAACCAAAAACAGTGTTAAAAAAACGAGTTATGTATTGATCCGTGGGCTAACTGTATTGTTGCATCCCTTGTTAGCACTGTTGCCTCACAGCAAGAACATCACTGGTTCTAGCCCTTACCAAGCTAGCTGATGTTTTCGTGCGGATTTTACACGTTCTCCCCGTGCTCACGTGGGTTTCTCATAGCTTCCCCGGTTGTCTCCCACTGTCCAAAAACATGCAACTTAAGTTAATTCACTTCAAATTTGCACCAGCTCTGGCCTTGCAAATGGGAGAGAGCCCAGGACTCGAGGATCTTATGAGTTTAGGGCTCTCTCCCGGGACAGCATGCCAAACAAGCTTTATAGTCAATCATCAGCTAAGTGTGAACTCTTGAAACAAACAAATTAAGTTGAACATTACAAAATACAGTGTTTTTTTATTCAACCCATATAAATGGTTTGCAACCGGTAAATCCAATTTATCTTTTTTTTTTCAGTGTACACAACCTGAAAAAAGTCTTGTTGTCGATACCAGTTGTAAGAGCAACAAATAAAAAACTTGATATAGTTGATCATTTGGAAAACAACCTAATTGTTTTATGCTAAATCCACTTAAATTTGTAAAAACAATTAAGTTGACTTAGTTAATTAGTGTTGGGACAACATTGTACAAAAGTGTACACTTAAAAATGCTGTGCTCCTCGCAATTTCTTCATGTTGTCCCTTCATTAGCTTAATCGTTTTTACGAATTTACGTTTATTGAATATAAAACAATTAAGTTGTCCCAAAATTACGTATGGATTGTGTTGTTTCAATTCATTTAAAATAAAAAGTCATTTTGAATGTATAATAACATGTTTTGCAATGCAAGCTGTAATGCAAAATTTGCAGGTTTACCTCACAAAAGGTGAAAACTGTTGATTTAATTTAAAGTCCAGTTGCTTAGCGTAAGCATTGAGGGAAAAGATGTTTCAGCATTTTCATTGCTTTTATCATTGCTGAGCGATGTCATCATTCATCAGTAACAAGATGTAAAGCAACATGTGTCTTGTGTTTTGTTTTGTGTGTTTTTGGGGGTAAAGGAATGCTTGGCTTGACGCAGACACTTACAGAAGTGCTGTGTTCAGATACTAAAACACATTTATTTATGCAAATTATTATACAAATAATAATTTTTTTGACAGCAGTGTTGAATTATGAATTGCACCGGCCATAAAAAGGATTTGGACACTTAAGCCACACTTCAGTACGAATGCCATTGCACAAGATAACAAATACTGATTTAAATTAAATTTATCACAAAGATAACACAAGCAGAACTCAAAAGAAAGGTCCAAAATGAAAACATTTGGTGGTTGTGAAAGCATGTACACAATAAAGTTCATGAGTGTGACTTTAAAATAACCTAGTGGTCAGCAGCAGATGTTTGCTATTTCCACTTCATTTGATTTTATAATTTAACGCAATGGCATTCATGCATTTTTATGTGACCAAAAGCTTTTTATGGCCACTGCACATGAAATAACTAGCATGATGTATCTTTTAAAACATAACTTTGCATTGAAGTGTGATGTTTATGCATGCAAACCACTTCATGCATCAGAATAAAAAGCAAAATAACATCCTAACTGATCTTATCCTTGTGTTTTAGGTAAGTACTTACTTGCATGTTATGGAAAACAACATGGCAATAGCTCCAGTCTATGAAAGTATGACGGTACCCCGAAACAAAGCCCCGAGGCCCTCTTCCTCCTCTCCCAGGAACTCTTTATTTGCCAACTCCTCTTCTTGTACGTCTCCATACTCCTCGTCCTCTGTAGAAGACACTAATGACTCCTCTGTTCACCTCCTGCCAAAAAGTGGCAACATCTCTATCTTCAGTAGCCTGAAGAGGAAGAGCAAGAAAGCAAAGAAGAAGAAAGATGACCGTGGACACACCATTCAGAAGATCATGGGCGAGGAGCAATCAGAGGAGATCATTTCGTCCCCTGTAGGTGAACCAGTTATTTACGATACACACACTTGGCCCCTTAAGGAATGGAAAAAGCGTAAAAATGCAAGACAACCAAACAGCGATGGGACTCAGGTCTTGGACTACATGAAGAACCCTTTGGTGAAAGATATTGATGAAGAATGCTCTGGAGAAGATGGATCTACAGTTCAGGTTTCCACTCAATCACACACAAAGAACCACTGCAGATTTCTGTCTTTGGGCTCAGTTTTAAGTTTCGACCTACCCAAGGATATGAGCCTTATCCCGAGCATTCAAGACGTGATCACTATCGTCCCTTCTGAGCAAAAGAAAGCAGACTCACATCAACAGAACTCTCAGGTTGATCGTCCGACATCTCTGAGCACCTTCAAGTTAACACGCTCACCTCCAATGCAAAAGGAAGAGCCCAAACAAACTTCTCCAACTGAAGTAACTCTCAAGATTGATTGCAGGGACTCTAGAAAGATCAGCATTGACACCTTATCGTTTACTGAAGACGACTTTCCTCCTCCACCATCCCCAATAGTTGAAGGCCTCTCAATTGAGGAGAATCATCAATCATCACTGACCAATATTCAACAGAAACACCTTTTTGGGATTGGTTCTGTGCCCAACGCAATCTCCAATCAACTTAATCAACACTCTGGAAGTTCTCTAGAAGAGGCAACCCAAGAGATCAACTCCACTACAGCAGAGATTCATGCATGTCCTAGCGCCCTAGTTCACAACCCCAATGGACAAGTCTTTCATAAGCTAGTAAAGACTTCCAGGTCTCAACAATTGAGTCCAAACCAAGCATCTCACATTGTGTTGAACTTCAGATCCAATGGAAGAGAGGACTCTGTGGACTCTGGTCACTCCAGCTCTGGAAGTTTCAAGTTGGGCACTGAGGGTCTGATTTTAGACTCCACAGAGTGTCCGATTCCCAAAAGGACCATTGCAAAGGTATTATCAATGGATGCAGGAGTCTCAAGCAGGAACTCAGAGTTTTCTAAGGAGAAGAGCCTTCATTTATCTCTCGATGCTGAAGATACTGTTCATCCTGACCACCAGCAGTTTGAACAAGAAGAGGAGGAGCTGGAGGACATCTGGAACCAAACCAACAGCTACCGACAGAGTCTAAACTCTGACATCATGTATAACGGCTACCAGGGATTGCCGGCAACATGTTCTCCAGGCAAGCCCAGGGAATCTTCACCCAAAGAACAAGCAGTACTCTATAGGAAGTTGGTCACTGCCTCAGCACCCAACCTTCTTGTGGCCGAGTTCAAACTGCCTTCATCTATCCAGACTTTGGTTGCTTGTGGGAAACTGCAGAACTCAAAAGAAGAGAGGCTAGTTTGGGATAAAGAGAATAGGAGGTCTTGGGCAGCATTTAGTGCAGAGGAACAGGTGTATAAAGAGGTGACTATTAATGAGACTGCTTCTGATCCTGTGAAACTGCCTGAATTGGAGGACCAGCAAAAGTATATCTACCATTATAGAGAGGATGAAGAGGAGGAGGAGGAGGATGAGGAACAGAAGGAAACAGGGTTTCTAAAGGTGAGGTCTACAATTTGGCAGTTTGACCTGTCTAACTCAGTTAGCTATACGTTAAGGCTTTTATTTAGAAAGTTAGTGCTGCCCTGAGGGCTATAGTGCCACAGAGTTTAGCTCCAAGCTCAGTTAAACACACCTGAACCAAGGACATCAATGACTACATTTACTTGGACATCAGTAATCGGATTATTTGCTTTAATCTAATTATGAGAATGATAAGACTAAAGCCTGGTTTAAACTTCTGCGTCAAGTGACCAGCGTAACCTACGGCGCATGCAACGCGCTTAGTCGGGCATTTATACTTCTGCGCGCTGTCTCTGTTGGTCTGCATTAACACTTCCAAAACGCTAGTTGGCAGTGAGGTGTAAATGTTCCTCTGTGTCGAGTTTCTTCGCTGGTGTTTTGTTTTTTCTGAACACTTCCTGAATGTACAAGTGGCTCAAACTCGCTCATTTTGAGGCAGGAACCGGCGGACGTGCAACAACTTTAACCATGAGGTAAACACAAAACAAAACTTTCCATCCGGAACTCCTTCACGTGACTCCACACTTGTAAACAATCGTTTATCGGGCTCACGCGGCTCTTGGTCCCGCCCTGACTCGTCACCGCTATCAAGCCGACCAATCACAGAGCTTGCGCTACGCGGTGTTACGACGTGTAGTTACATTTGTTGAGAGGTGCACGTCAGTGACGTCGACAACCACGGCGTAGGGCTATGCGTCAACGTGTAGGCTGTGCCGTAGCCTACGCGTGTGCTAGACGCAGAAGTATAAATCAGCCTTAAGGTGTTTACTTGAGCTGCTTTTTGAGTGTTACTTTCATGATCCTGTTTTACATGTTATAGCACATAATTAGATTAACGTCATTGCATTTCCTCTGGAGTGTCATGTAATTTCGGGTTTAAAATTTTTAATTTGTCGACTTTAACTGCAGTTGGCACTTTCACCTTCATTCAAAAACATTTCATGCACGCCCTCTATGACAAACGAGATATTGGATGAAAATATGAACTGCCGGAAGAGTGCTGTTTTAATGGAAGTTAAACCGCATGCTGAATGGAAGAAAAAAAACTCCGCATTTCACGATGCAGGTGTCTCTGGTCTGCACTGACTCAGTAGGTGCAAAGTGTCAAACAGCGGCGCGCACGGACCGTCCTGTCGCAAATCGTTGCGAAAAGTCCTACACGACGGTAATAATTTGAGTAAGGGGTTTACATGTCTGTAATGCACTTCAATAATGCGAATTAAATCGGCATACTCCACACGTCTTAATTCGATTTCTCTTAAGTTCGATTATGACCTTAATCTGATTAAATTAATTAAAAAGCTCTGTTTACATAGTTAACTCTTATTTAGAGTTTTGTCTTAATCACATTAAAATCGAATTATTGATGTTCATGTAAACGTAGTCAGTGTTTTCAATAGGGATGCACGGAATTTTGACGGACAAATAAGTATCTGTATAAGTATTGGATGATAAATACTTGTTTTTATTGTTATTATATTTTAAGCTAACCTTTAACCTAATAAGTAAATTATTTGTTTGGTATTTAAGCTTGTTTTTCTTTTGTTTTTGTAATTAGCTCAGAAAATCAATCCCCAATATATATCGGTATATCTGCTTATCGGCCAATAAAAGCTTGTTTTTGATCAAATTATCTGTCAGGTATTTTAATTGTCTTCTGTATTTGTTTTCTTTTCTTGTAATTTTACAAAAACAAATCATATCAAGATGTATATTAATTACCCATATATAAACACCGGTTAAGTGCGTATCGGTCAATAAAAACTTGTTTTTAATGATGTCTCTATCAGCTTTATAAGGAAATAATCTGTCAGGTTTTTTAGTTGTCTACTTAGTTTTCATAACTTTGCTCAAGTAAATTCATGTCAAGATTTATATATATATTATTTATCTGTTTTTCTGCCGATAAAAGCTTGATCTTAAAGTTATTGTTATTAGGCTGGATAATTTCAGATGTCTACTTCATTTGTTTTCTGATTGTTTTTGTAATTTTGCTCAAAATATTAATATAAATATATATATATCGGTAAAGAAATATCGGCTATCAACATTTCCATATCAGTGCATCCCTAGACTTACGGGAAGTGTGTTAAGTCACGTTGAAGATAAACATTGGCCCTCCAGAACCTGTCGTTAGCATCCCTGTTTTAAACAGTTGACTTGTTCTGCCTTCAGTATTGTAATTCACGTTAATAGGCATAGAATAATAGAGTTAGAGTTGTGTGTTAGATGAAGAATAGTGTTTATTTATTGTACAACTTAGTTTGCATTGATTATGGGTGCTGTATATGAAGAATGTTAGCTATTTCATGATGTAACAGGCTACGTTTCCCATCATTTTTGGTGGGAGTAGAATGAATACATAATTAAATACTCTTGGTTTTGTTGTATTATCACTAAAAGCTAAAGTTGCATCTTCCCAAGAGAATAGAGTGAATGGAGTTATTCCTCTACTTATTTATTCATGCTTTTGATAATGTTTGTTTTTAATCTATTAATGTCCTCTTTTGTCTCAGGACCAATCCATGAGCCTTCTGTCAGTTCATATGGGATTAGATGACTCTGATAAACAAGTAAGCTGAAATCTAATTGAAGACCACATCAGAACAAAGCCAATGAGTTTTAATTATTAATAATTTCATTACATTTTTTTAGAGTGGAAGACAAGAACTTGAACTTCCATCTATGGAAGGAACACTGGAGAGGAAGCACAAACTACAGCTTGGTGGAAAGAAGGTAAACATCATACATGTAATTACAGATCATTCTTGCTCACAGACCAAAACAAATTAGCATTTAGTGTCAGTGGCTGCATGCTTTTTCTTGAGTCCTGGTTATTTTAGGGTTTCTCTTTATGTAACTAATAAGCTAAATGTACTTTATTTAGGCACCATGCAGAGCGTGGAGCTCCTATCATGCTGTGCTGTACAAACACACAATGTGTTTCTATCAGGACAGGAAGGATACACTCAAGGTAAAGCTTAAAGACTTGCAAGGCTTTGCAGCTAAAAAGAAAGTGGTTTGTTCCTTTATTGCAAACCGACATCATTAGTTATATTTATAAGGCTGAATTGTGATCAAATTACATTTGATAGTGGTTCAGGATGTTAGACGCTGTATTTGTGTCCTTATAGAGTTGTGTGACCAGCCTTCCTCTCAACCTAATTGGAGCGGTGTGTGAGCCGTCGCCAGAGTACACCAAAAAACCCAACTGCTTCAGCTTGAGGTACATGACCAACAGCTAAAAAGTGGGTCCAATTCACCCATTGTGAAATTATTTTTGTTTTTGTCATTTCCTTGGAGGGTATTGAAACTACCCTTTCGGTGATCACTGTGAGAAGACGTGTGTAGATCAGTTAGATTAGAGCAGGGGTGCCTTATTTCTCTGTTTTCTTTTAGATTGCGTGATGGATCTGAATATCTGCTCAGTGCCTCCTCCCGCTTTATGATGAAGAAATGGATCTTGAGAATCCAAGCACACACCGGTATTGTATCACTATTCATTTGCTTGTCTTTCAATAAGTTTTCATTCTACATTTAAAGGTGCTGGAAGGACATTTTTGACTCTTCTAAAGTATAGAAATGGCATCCTAAAAACCATCCTAAGTGAATCTGAAAAACTATGCTGAAGTCAGTTATTCAGTTTTGAAAATGTGTGTTTCGTGTCAGAATGTCTGTTTTTGTTTTGGTCTCTGTAACCAGCCCAATGCAAGTTAACCCAGTTATGTTTCAGCACATCAGGTTGCCTTGGTGAAATACACTGTATTTTTCAAGTCATTTTCAGTGTCAGGGTACACCTCTAAAAAAAAAAAACCTCCAATATTGTGAATTTAGACTGCAATACCCAGTTCAACCACTAGGTGTTAATTCTACATACTGCACATTTAGTCATCTTAAAACCTCCTCTGTCTCTCTGCAGCCTCTGGTGATTGTGTATCGGGACATCACGGCTCTTCAGCAACGCTCTCCAGATATTCTCCTGCTATCTCCGGCTGTCAGTGTGCAGATAAATGTCTCTGCTCCGTGAGGAATTATGTCAGCACCACTGTTTTAGCACAGAGTCAGCAAACCTCAGGCCGAACCAAGGAGATCATCGTCCACACCACTGACCACCATCAGGATCTGTCCTTCAACTCGTGCTCTGATGCTGCACATTGTGGTAAGATTCATTATTAGCATTCACTACACTAATGCTTTTTAAATAATTTTTATTTATTTAAAACCTGTTTTAACACTTTGAATCAGCATTGTGTATGAAATGTGCTATATAAATAAACTTGCCTATTACCATACTGTATTACTTACAGTAATAAGGGGAGATTTTGTCTGTTTCCAGATAATTTTACGAAGCAATGAGTGGCAAAATTGAGACAACAGTGAAGTGGAATTTTAATTTATTTAATATAATATTAATTTGTTTAATTTTATTACATTTTATTGCGGTTTACAATCAGACTAGAATTTTTTATTTTATTTTATTTTTTTATTTAATTTTATTTATAAACAGACTGTTAATGGAAAATATGCTAATATGATAATTTACCAAGCAATGAGTGGCAAAATTGAGACAACAGTGGAAATTTTATTTAATATTATATTAATTCATTTTATTTTATTTTTTATTTTTTTATTGTATTACATTTGATTTATTTTTTGTTTAATTTCATTGCAGTTTATGAACAGACTTTGGCATTTTTATTTTATTTGATTTTGTGAACAGACTGATAAAGGAAAATACGACCATGAAGTGGAATTTTTATTTTATTTTATATTATTTTATTTTGTTTTAATTTAGTTTTATTTTATTTCTTTGTTTTATTTCATTGTTTGTTTAATTTATTTTTTATCTTATTGCAGTTTATGAATAGACTGGAATTTTATTTTAGTTTATGAACAGTCTGATACAGGAAAATACAACAGTGAAGTGGATTTCATATTTTATTTTTTTCTATATTATAGTTTTGTTTAGTTTTTTTATTTTATTAAATTTCTTAATTTAGTTTATTTTTTATTTAATTAAATTGTATCTTTTTGCAGTTTTTGAACAGACAATTGTATTTTTAATTTCACCTTAATTATTTTTAGTATTATTTTTTTAATGAACAGTTTGACAATGAAAAAAAATACGTAAATGATACTTTTACCAAGCAATGAGTGGCAAAATTGAAACAACAGTGAAGTGGAATTTTGTATTTAATTTTCATTTTATTTCATTTATATTTATTTTATGTTTTATTTTTTATTATTATTTTTATTATTATATAATATTTTATATATTTTGTATTTAATTTAATTTATTTTGTATTTAATATTTTTTTTGTATTTTATTTTATGAACAGTCTGATAAAGCAAAATACAACAGTGAAGTGGGTTTTTTTATTTTATTTTATATTATATAATATTGTTTTGCTTTATTAAATTTCTTTATTTTATTTCTTTTTTATATTTAATAAAATGTTATCTTGTTGCAACTTATGAACAGACCGGAATTTTTATTTTATTTAATTTTATTTATTTTTTAAACAGACTAATAAAGGAAAATATATAAAAATAAAACAAAATATTAGAACAATCAAGCAATTAAAACAAAACAAAACAAAAAAATTCACAAAAATTCAGTTTCAATTTAATTCATTAAAAAACTAATTTATCTAAGATACCTATTTAGATGAATTATTCCATTTATTTAGATAAATATATTTTGATAAATTATGCAATTATTTTTAAGCTCACCAAGGCTGCATCTATAATATTAGCATTAGATAAATATATAATATTATTTAGGGCGTCACAGTGGCGCAATGGTTCGCACGATCACCTCACAGTAAGAAGGTCGCTGATTTGAGCCCCGGCTGGGTCAGTTAGCATTTCTATGTGGAGTTTGCATGTTCTCCCTGTTGGAGTGTGTTTCCTCCGGGTGCTCTGCCACAGTCCCAACACCTGTGTTATAGGAGAATTTAATAAGCTAAATTGACTGTAGTGTATGTGTGTGAAAGAGTGTGTATTAGGGTTGGGCATCTAAGCTATAATGCCGATCCGATACGCATCTCGATACAAAGAATACGATCCGATATATTAGTGATACATTTGTGACATTGCGATGCAACACGATACCATTCACACCCATATCACGATACAATGCGATAATTCAGCACTAACTAATTAGATCAAGTTTATGAGATGATGTGAAAGAGGATGCTGTGCCATTGAATGAGTTTGATTATTTATTAACCAAGTAAAACCAAGACTTTTTTTACAAACTGGCTTTTCTCTCAGAGCCAGAGTGTCAGTTTACAGTAGAGGGCCATTTTAGAACCTATAGCACATATTATTTAAGCATTTTCAAGATAAACAGAATGTATAAGTGCAATATATTTTATAAATGTATGTATTTGCACTCTTTCAACATAAAGGTTGAGCATTGCACAACAAGAATTGTGATTTAACTTTTCAACTATGAAAACAAGTTTTGCAAAGATATATTGTGCCACTGAATATTCAAAACTTAAGGTCGTGAACTAGCAGTGTTATGCTGCTTTGAAACATCACTGTCACTGTAAACAACAGGCTGATAAAAATATAATTAAATAAAAATTAACAGGAGGAGGTGTTTAAAACCTTCGTTCTCCGTGACACTCGGCTAAATATCTTTGCAGATGAACAATGCAATAGCATTTGTTTTTGGCGTAGAGCGAGCAGAACTGTTGCGCATGGAGAAAACTTTCAATGCTTTTCTCACCACTTTTGGAGCTGGTAGCTACAGTTGAAGCAGAGCAGGAAGCCGGGGATGCAGAAACACTGGAAGAGGCTTTCACAACAACACCGAGGCGCCGCTTCAAGTGAGATATCAGATTAGTCGTACTGCCCGAGTATTTTACAGATGCGCGGCACATTTTGCAATAATAAATAATTGGAATAAAATGTTTGTTTTGCTTCTCGCGCTTTCTGAGGGCGCACCACTAGCTTCATCCGCACACCTGATACACTGAGCTGTAGTGTAAGTGTACACATCCGCAAGCCCGTTGCTAAGGCATACTTTATGTAGGTCGATTAAATTATGCGCCAAAAACAGGTTGACAACACTTGTTAATAAATAAAAAATACATTCTATATTAAACATATAAGTTGTATCTTGCAAAAACCGATGCATCTCGATTTGCTTCCAAAATTTCATTCATCCTCTGCTGCTCAACCGATGCACTCGCATCGTGCATGACCGCGTATCGATACATATCGGTTAATCTTCCCATCCCTAGTGTGTATGGATGTTTCCCAGTAATGTGTTGCTGGATAAGTTGGCAGTTCATTCCCCTGATTAATAAAAGGACTAAGCCGAAAATGAATGAATAATATTCTAATGCTGTCCTTTACTCTTTTGACTGATTTCTATAAATTAGTGTCATTAATTTACATATACTCATTATAATATCATGTTTCATAATGCCTTCATTGTTTTTTTTTTTTATAGAAGTGTAAGTATTTATTTAAGTATAAAGTACATAAATTATAATAAATGTGCATAAATTTAGATCCATAAGTAGCTTTCATGTATTACTTTTGTTTGACTGTATTTTTTTTAATTATGCACATTAAATTATTAATGTGGTCCAGTAAAAAACAAAGTTTATTAATATCTAATTAAAATACGCTATTATAGTCTATTTAAAAGCATGCTTGAGATAAATTTTGCTTTACGTTTGACAGTTTCAGAGTGTCATCCTCAACATTCACCACCAATATAGGTAATATATATATAATGAGCAAGTGTAGATGTCCATCAGAGGGCAGTAGAGGACTCTCTTATAGAGATATTCAGTTATATTTTAGATTAGATTAGATTAGACATACACATGTACAAGGCACTGAAATACAGTTCAGGTTTAACCAGGAGTGCAACAGCAGCACATGCAGGATATAGCTGTAATTTTTAAAGTGCAATTATTGAAAAACTATGGTGATATTTACAGATGGATGTGATATGAACACAATATACAAGTCGTATTAACTGGAATCAGAGATTTACAAATAGATGAAAATATGTGCAGGTTGCTATTAATAATCGGGGATATGAAAATAGATCATATGCAGCTTGTTATTTGCTATAAACAGGAATTACAGATAGATCTGTAGATATATATTATACATTTACAGATGTATATGTGCAGTGGGTATGTACATTTACCGATTGCAGTGCAATGCAGTGATTATGAGTGATATTACGTGTGATGTATGAAATTAGTTTTGTTTAATTTCAATTATTAATAATTTGGATGAAAACAAGGGGTGGCACAGTGGCTCAGCGGGTAGCACGGTCGCCTCACAGCAAGATGGTTGCTGATTCAAGTCCCGGCTGGGTCAGTTGGCATTTCTGTGTGGAGTTTGCAGGTTCTCTCCGGTTTCCACCACAGTTCAAACACATGAGCTGTAGGTGAATTGAATAAACTGGCCGTAGTGTATTGAGTCTGTGTGTGAATGAGAGTGTATGGGTGTTTCCCAGTTCTGGGTTTCAACTGTAAGGGCATTTGCAGCAAAAAACGTGCTGGAATAGTTGTTGGTCCATTCCGCTGTGGTGACCTCTGAAATAAAGACTAAGCCGAAGGAAAATTAATGAATAAAAACAAATCAAATTGAGATTGTTTGGTCAGGTTTTAAGCTCCGTACTCTCTCATCTGTCTGCTGTCAGCACTATTACTGCAGTTTTCCCACATTATTTGTCACCTGCAGTGTTTGTTACTCACGTCTGCTGTCTGCAGAGGCCGAATGATTCATGTTCTGTGTGTTTCTCTCTGTAGACGATGACTTTGAGTCTCTGAGACAGAATCTGTCCTCCATGTCCACTGTTCAGGACTGGGCGGTTGGAAAGAGACGCTCACACTCATTTACCTCTGGCACACACACTCACACACACACACACAATACAGCCTTAGGGGCCAATCACACTGAATGTGCTTTTCTGTTCTGAGAATGTGAGGCACACCACAATTGGTGTATACTGAATATTTTGTGCAAATTAGGGAGAGAAGAATAATGACACACCTTAATGTCTTCCAAAGTTTCCCACCACAGGTAGTGGCATCACTTAGAGCAAGTCACATGCTTTTTCTACCATGCTTTGCTGATTGTTCTGCTTTTTGATAGATAAGATAGATAGATAGATAGATAGATAGATAGATAGATAGATAGATAGATAGATAGATAGATAGATAGATAGATAGATAGATAGATAGATAGATAGATAGATAGATAGATAGATAGATAGAATAACAGACAGATAGATAGATAGATAGATAGATAGATAGATAGATAGATAGATAGATAGATAGATAGATAGATAGATAGATAGATAGATAGATAGATAGATAGATAGATAGATAGATAGATAGATAGATAGATAGATAGATAGATAGATAGATAGAATAACAGACAGATAGATAGATAGATAGATAGATAGATAGATAGATAGATAGATAGATAGATAGATAGATAGATAGATAGATAGATAGATAGATAGATAGATAGATAGATAGATAGATAGATAGATAGATTAACAGACAGACAGACAGACAGACAGACAGACAGACAGACAGACAGATAGACAGATAGACAGATAGATAGATAGATAGATAGATAGATAGATAGATAGATAGATAGATAGATAGATAGATAGATAGATAGATGGATAGATAGATGGATAGATAGATAGAATAACAGACAGATAGACAGACAGACAGACAGACAGACAGACAGATAGATAGATAGATAGATAGATAGATAGATAGATAGATAGATAGATAGATAGATAGATAGATAGATAGATAGATAGATAGATAGATAGATAGATAGATAGATAGATAGATAGATAGATAGATAGATAGATAGACAAAAATAATAGCAAATTCTAGAATCACTCATACAATAAAGCACAATTGTTGATTTAAAAAAAGACACACACACACTCTCACACACACACACACACACACACACACACACACACACACACACACACACATATATATATATACATAACCATTTCTTTAAAAATTTCTGATGATAAATCATACTAAACATACTATTTTAGGTCCGTTAGGACTTTACGATTGCTAAATGCCAGAATTATGAGAAAATTATTTTTGTGAATGTTTTATTAATTTCTTGACAGTCAAAAGTTTGCACACATTTCCTTGATATTTGTTTAGCTTTGCTTTTAAACTGTATAACTTTGGTCAAATGTTTTGGGTATCCTTCCACAAGCTTCTCACAATAGTTTGCAGGAATTTTGGCCCGTTCCTCCTGACAGAATTAATGTAACTGAGTCAGATTTATTGGTCTTGCTCGCACAAGCTTTTGCAACTCTGCCCACAAATTTTCTATAGGATTGAGCTCAGGGCTTTGTGATGGCCACTCTAAAACATTCACTCTGTTGTCCTTAAAGCACAGTTGAACTAATTTGGCAGTATGCCTAGGGTCATGGTCTGTTTGGAAGACCCATTTGTGGCCAAGTTTTAATTTCCTGGCTGATGTCTTGAGATGTTGCTTCAGTATTTCTACATAATGTTCTTTCTTCATTATGCCATCTATGCTGTGAAGTGGACCTGAGGCAAAACAGCCCCACAACATGATGCTGCCGCCCCCATACTTCACAGTTGGGATGGTGTTTCTAGGCTTGTAAGCTTTCCCCTTTGTCCTCCAAATGTAACACTGGTCATTATGGCCAAACAGTTCAATCTTAGCTCCATCACACCACAGGACATGTCTCCAGAAATAAGTCTTCTCCCCAGTGTAATTCAGCTAATTGTAATCTGGCTTTGTTGTTGATTCTGGCTTGTTGATTTTCCCATGTTGTCACATAAGGCAGCAGTGTGTTTGAGGTTTTCCTGTAATACTATTCTGCAGTTGTGCCTCCAATTAACTCAAATGTTGTCAATTAGCCAATAAGAAACTTCCAAAACCTTGACATCATCATCTGAGCTTTTTCAGAGGCAGAATAATCTTATTGTATGTAAAATTGACTTTCAAGAAAAATTAAAACAATTTCTCAAAGAATCTCTCTCTCATTATTCTGCTATTAAGAAACAGAAACTAATGTGATAATCCGAACTTACCTAAAAGAGCAAAAGTTTAGTCCCATTAACATCTGACTTTTTTTAAATGGTTATGTGCCTTTTTATACAGCGTATGTACACTTCTGCTTTCAACTGTATATAGTCAAACCAGAAATTATTCATACTCCTAGCAAATTTTGACTTAAAGTTGTTGTTCAAATGTAAAAAAAAAAAAAAGTAGCTGAGAAATATTTTTTGTCGCATAATGATGCCTCTTGTACATCGTCTTATTATCTTTTGTGAGAAGCCTGTGTCATTTAGGGTCAAAGACAAACAATAAAAATAACTTTAATTCTGAATTTGCCAAGGATATGAATAATTTCAGGCTTTATTTATTTATTTATTTATTTATTTATTTATTTATTTATTTATTTATTTTATTAACCACATAGATGAGTCTTTTTTATTAATCAGTGTTTTGTAATGGTATAATCTTCTTATATTGCATTCACATCAATGCATTTACCACACAGTTTCATCAAAAGTGAATGATATAGCTGTGAAATGATGTGTGCACATCAAACATGCAATCCTGTTGATGCATTTTGAGAACTATGACCTACAGTAATGCTGTCTGTGCTTTATAGGAAGCATTGTGCAGAATTTACATCCATAACAGCTTTTTAATGTCTCCACACGCAGCCACGTATCAGAGGATCAAGCCTGTGGCGCCTCCTGCAGGCCGCATGGAGAACAGCAGCTCCAGCTACTCTGTTACTTTATTCATCGGTGAGCGAGAGACGTCACCGGTGATCTGTAAAAACAGAAAGGAATCATGCTCTGATTTGCCCATCACCAGCTACTCCAGTCTCCCCCGACACAGAAACAGATCCGTCCTCAGGAAGTTCTTCGGGATGAAGGAGTGATGCTCTGATCTGACGGACATGTGCAGGACACACGTTCAACACTTCGTTCTCAAGAACTCTTATTTATGGATGAGATTGGAGAAACAATGCTTTTTGTGCTTTTACAGTAAATGAGATCTTGTGTGGTTGCCCATTTAGACGTCTGATATATGGAAATATGTGCTAATCACATACAGTTGAAGTCAGAATTATTCGCCCTGCTGTGAATTTTGTTTTATTTGTTAAATATTTCCCAAATGATGTTGAACAGATTCAGGAATTTTTCACAGTATTCATTCAATCATTTTCCTGTCGGTTTAGTCCTTTTATTAATCTGGGGTCACCACCACGGAATGAACCGCCAACTTATCCAGCATGTTTTTACGCAGCGGATACCCTTCCAGCCGCAACCCATCTCTGGGAAATTTTTCACAGTATTTCCGATAATATGTTTTCTTCTGGAGAAAGTCTTAATTGTTTTATTTCGGCTAGAGTAAAAGCAGTTTTTAATTGTTTAAAGCCATTTTAAGCTCAGTATTATGATCCCTGTAGTGGCACACCTTTCGTGCATATCTATGTACCACCTTTTGCAGCTTCTATTCCAACAACCAGTATTTTAAAATATGCAAGGAAAACCGAATCTTCTTTTAAAAAGGGTTTACTGAAGAAATGCAAACAAAAATACAAGCAGGGCCAGAGTGGGACTCCTTTTCAGCCCTGGGGTCCGTTCTTCGTACGTGGATTACTCAGTTAGCTGGATTTGGATGTTGACGATTTGATATGATCCAGGATCGTTTCGTTCTTCAAAGCTGATCCGTGAGTTGTTGTCATAGCAACAGTTCTGCTAGCTCAAACCTGATCGGGAGCAGGTTCAATTCATATAAACAGGATTCGATCGGCTCAGTTCAAGCAAAGATAATACAGAAAGTATGTTCTGAATTCTGATATTTTCTTACAGTAGTAGTTATATACACTTGGGAAAATAGTACATATTTTTAACTATATATATAAAGTTATATTTATTAATAAAATAAATTAAGTTATACATATTAATAAAACTTCTGCAATCTGCACCCTCGAAATGAAAGTACAAAGACTGCCACCTGGTGGTGCAAAGAGAAAACTTATTGATATGAACGCTTTAGATCGCTTTAGTACAAATTGTGTATGATAGAAATGCAGAATATGTGATTTTTTTTTAAAGCAATAATACATTTATGCAGTCATAAACATGTTTTGACAGTTAATAGTGATTTGATGCTTTACAAAAGTTGCAGACGCCTTTACCAATATCAAAATGCTTTTGTAAACAACCAGTTATTCTTTACACCGATTAAAAAACGGCTACTATAATATAGACAATATTATCTAAATGTAGAACTAAATACATTGATTTGCATTGAAATACATGATGAGTACACACTTTCAAAGAAAGTGTAAAGCCTGCAGCTCACAACAAATGTGGAAGGTTATTGCGTGTCATATTTAACAAACGGTTTACTGCTAATTTGATGTAATTTTGCTCACATGGATAATTGAATATTAATCAGATGATGTCATTACGCTGCTGTGCCGTCAGCCAATCGCTGCATTGCTGATCATGATTTCGAGGATCAGTTATCGAGATGAAAAGATCCAGGATCTGCCAAATCATCTTAGATCATTTAAGCGAGGTACGAAGAACGGACCCCTGGAGTGTCAAGCCTTAGACTGGCCCACCTCCGTTCACGACTATATTAAAATAAGGTCATTTCAAATTCAGTTTCTAATTACACTATCAAGTCTTTTTGAAGAAAACAGCTGCTTTAGAACTTCAAATGTTCAACAACCTTACAGTTTTATATGTCTTAACAATAAAAAAGAATTACTCAGGTGAGGATCGAACACGTCGTAAGGCAACGTGCTGACCACTGGACCACAATGGTGGTGTTACACTTTTGTGGCCGGATTGATTTTTACATCATTATTACCTTGCAGGCTGTATTTTGTTCATGGGGCGGAGCTGTGGCAAAATAATAAATAAAAAGAGTGAGGCTATGGTCAAATAAATAAATAAATGAAAAGAAGTGCGACGGCTGAGAGTGCAAGCAGCTAGAAACACCAGCCCTCGTAGCAAAAAAACGGACCGGCCCACTGGGAACTCTCCCGGTCCTCCCGATTGGCCAATCCGGGCCTGAATACAAGAGTACAATAGACTCGATATACTGTAGCTCGTTTAAAAAACTGTTGCTTTCAACATCCATAACTGCAATCCGACTTAAACGTATGAACTAAAGACCTCATGATGTATTACTGCCGGAAGCCAAAATACCAGTAAAAGTTTTTAAATTGTATCAATTATTAAATTATGCATTTTAGATAATACAATCACAATGCATTCTTATTATATTTAACATCTATTTTTACCATGTTTTTACTTTTTTAACTAAATTTTTATCACAAATGAATTATGCATAACTGGCTCTTACAATCCCCCTTTAAGTTTGTTTTGGATCGTCTACAGAACAAACCACTGTTATACAATGACTTGCCTAACTACCCTAACTTTACCCCAATCAAGCCTTTAAATGTCACTTTAAGTTGTTTAGAAGGGTCTTGAAGAATATCTAGTCTAATATTATTTACTGTCATCATGGCAAAGATTATTTGAAATGAGTTATTAAAACTATTATGCTTAGAAATGTGTTGATGAAATCTTCTCTCCATTAAACAGAAATTGGGGAATACAATGCACAAGTGGGCTAATAATTCAGACTTGGACTGTATTTGACATACAAGTTCAATTTTATTTCACACAAACAAGTAAATTACATGCAACATCTCAAAATATGGCAAAATGGATTTTTCATTTATTGTTTTTAATCATTGCAATAACAAACATGTGCATATCAAATATATTAGATAAAAGCAAATATGTTCATATAATGCCATGTATAAACAGACATATAAGATTATAGCTAATATATATGAACATACAGTTAAAGCTAGAATTATTAGCTCCCCTGTTTATTTTTCCCCAATGTCTGTTCAATGGAGAGGGTTTTTTTTTCAGCACATTTCTAAACATACTAGTTTACTGTATGATTAATTTACTGTATACTGAGTTATTTTATCTTTGCCTTGATGACAGTAAATAATATTTTTCAAGACACTTCTATACAGCTTAAAGTGACATTTAAAGACTTAACGAGGTTAATTAGGGTAACTAGGCAGGTTAGGGTAATTAGGCTAGTTATTGTATATCGATGGTTTGTTCTGTAGACTATCGAAAAATATATAGCTTAAAGGGGCTAATAATATTGACCTTAAAATGTTTTTTTAAAAAATTAAAAACTGCTTTTATTCTTGCAGAAATAAAACAAATAAGACTTTCTCCAGAAGAAAAAATATTATCAGACATACTGTGAAAATTTCCCTGCTCTGTTAAACATTATTTCGGAAAAATTTAAAAAAGATAAAGTCCATAGGGGGGCTAATAATTCTGACCTCAACTGTATATAATTATATATAATTACAATGGTTGAAGAAGTTATGAAACAGACTAGAATATTTTGAAATATATATTGCATATATATATATATATATATATATATATATATATATATATATATATATATATATATATATATATATATATATATATATATATATATATATATATATATATATATATATATATATATATATATATATATATATATATATATATATATATATATATATATATATATATATATATATATATACATACATATATATATACTATATATATATATATATATACATATATATATATATATATATATATATATATATATATATATCTATATATATATATATATATATATATATATATATATATATATCTATATATATATATATATATATATATATATATATATATATATATATATATATATATATATATATATATATATATATATATATATATATATATATATATATATATATATATATATATATATATATATATATTTAAAATCTCCCAATCATAAATGTAAAAAAGCAAATGTTATATTTGTAATTTGCATACATTTCCATAAATCAGCTTTTTATATGTGTGTGTTGCTGCAAACTGTGTGATATTTACTATTTCCACTTTTTATATCAGACTAATTATGCCACCATTTACTCACCCTCACACCCTCATACTCTTTCCTCACCAAACATTTAAGTTGCCAGCCATTGTCAACATTTTTGATGCAATTTTTAACTAAATATGAATATTTTCTGCTGCACTCTAAAAAAATACTGTTTTTTAACTAATGTCTACTTTCAAGTTATAAACTTGCATTAAACTGACTTAATGGGGGGCGGGGTGGGGGGTCTCTCTACACCACCACCAGTGTGCAGCATCCACTTGGATGATGCTATGGCAGCCATTTGGTGGAGTGGAGAGACAGTGATAGAGACAATTCAGTTTGATTTGAAGGTCATTTAGCCAAGACAACAGGGGTTTTTTTTTACGAGAAGTGCCATGGGATTTTCAATCGGGACCTTGGTTTAACGCCTCATCTGAAAAACGGCGCTCACTGACAGTATAGTGTCCCCTTCACTATACTGGGGCATTAGGACTCACACAGACCTCAGGTTGAGCGCCCCCTTCTGGCCTCACTAACACCACTTCCAGAAGCAACCTAGTTTTCCCATGTGGTCTCCCATCCAGATACTGACCAGGCTCAGCCCTGCTTAGCTTCAGTGAGTAACTGGTCTTGGGCTGCAGGGTGATATGGCTGTGTTGACTTAAAACAGCTTGTGTAACTCAAATAATTAAGTTGTAACATGATTAACTTAGTTTATTACAATCAGTTGGCATTTATGTGTGGAGTTTGCATGTTCTCCCCGTGTTGGTGTGGGTTTCCGGATGCTCCGTTTTCCCCCACAGTCCATAGGGGAATTGGATGAACTAAACTGACCGTAGTGTATGAATGTGTTAGAATGTGAGAATGTATGGGTGTTTCCCAGTACTGGGTTGCAGCTGAAAGGGCATATGCTGTGTAAAACATATGCTGGAATAGTTGGCGGTTCATTCCGCTGTGGTGACCCCTGGTGAACAAGAGACTACGCATTTTATTCTGTGTTCATGGTTTATCACAACTTGAATGCTGATAGGTTTCATCAAAAATGCAAACTTTTTGACCAAAAACAGAGAAAAAAAATGTTTGTTTGTTTTTTAAGATATATAAAAATT